TGGAATGCTGATGAAGACTCGCTCCGTCTCAGAGATCCTCTATCGTGATTCTGACATATTCAGTCTTCAGCCGCTGACGAGGTAACAGCTCATCTGGCTGCTGCAGGGCCTGTGGGAATGGCTGCCGCCGCTGCTGTGGCAACAGGGCAGAAACGGAAATGGCCTCACGTGTTTGAGCGGAATCCATCCATCCGGAAGAGACAGAAAACACGCATGCTTCGCAAACTTCGAGCCATGTTAGATGAATATACTACTCGCGTGGGGCAGCAAGCTGTTGTGCTCTGCATCTCACCCTCCCAACCCAAACCGGTCTTTAAAGTATTTGGGGCAGCACCGTTGGAGCAGGTGGTGCGTAAGTACCAGGGCGTGATCCTGGGGGACCTGGAGTCCGCCCTGGCCCAATGCGCCCCCGGGCCGCAGGAGGGTAACTCGGAGCTGCCACCTCTCACCAGCGACGGGATTCCAGTCTCTGTGAATCAAATGACCCAGGCCCAGCTGCGGGCATTTATCCCAGAGATGCTCAAGTACGCCACGGGTCGGGGAAAACCAGGCTGGGGCAAAGAAAGCTGCAAGCCCACCTGGTGGCCTGAAGACATCCCGTGGGCCAATGTCCGGAGGGATGTCCGCACGGAAGAGCAAAAGCAGAGGGTTTCATGGACCCAAGCACTCCGGTCCATAGTTATAAACTGTTATAAACAGCACGGACGGGAGGACCTTTTATGCGCTTTTGAAGATCAGCAAACACAAGCAGAGGCTGCAACCACACAGAGTATAGCCCATCTTGTTCCATCAGGGACCGTAGTCCAGACCTTCAGTAACCCCGATGGCACTGTCTCACTTATCCAGGTTGGCACAGGGGCAACAGTAGCAATGTTGGCTGATGCTTCAGAATTGCCAACCACAGTCACTGTTGACCAAGTGAATTATTCTGCTGTGGCAGATGGAGAGGTGGGACAAAACTGGGCCACGTTACAAGGAGGTGAGATGACCATCCAGAGGGCGCAAGCTTCAGAGGCCACACAGGCAGTGGCAGCTTCGCAGGAGATGCAACAGGGAGCTACTGTCACCATGGCGCGCAACAGTGAAGCTGTCGCCACATTGGCCGAAGCCACCTTGCAAAGTGGGGGACACATCGTCCTGTCTGGGGAAACCGCAGCAGCCGTTGCAGCACTTGCTGGAGTCCAAGATGCTAACGGACTGGTCCAGATCCCTGTGAGCGTGTTCCAAACTGTGGACCTGCAATCCCTTGGGTAACCAGCCTCACTCAAGGCAACGGGCCGGTGCAGGTGGCCATGGCCCCTGGGGACACCAGGACAGCGGGTAGCAGTCACCATAGACCAGCATTGGGCAAACTACGGCCCCCGGGCCGGATCCGGCCCGTTTGAAATGAATAAAACTAAAAAAAAAAAAAGACCGTACCCTTTGATGTAATGATGTTTACTTTGAATTTATATTAGTTCACACAAACACTCCATCCATGCTTTTGTTCCGGCCCTCCGGTCCAGTTTAAGAACCCATTGTGGCCCTCGAGTCAAAAAGTTTGCCCACCCCTGCCATAGATGGCCAGGCTGTGGAAATGGTGACGTTGGGACAGTGACATGCAGCCATATCATGGCATCGTTTTCTAGTCTACTTCAGACATTTTTACAGCTTGCAGAGGTGCAATCAAATGGAGTTAAGTCCCTCAACTTTGGAAGAAAAGTATTGTTAATCCTTTTTTAAAAAAGGAAGAAAGGCAGTGAATGTTGAAATGCA